AATCGAGCAAGAGCATACGACTCCAATTCGAAAAGCGCATGAATGAGCGACGACAATGCCATAGAAGCCTTAAGATTATCCTTCGCTCCAACAATGGCGTTCGTTGTAGACATGCTAAAATACCTCCTGTATTTCTCCACGGGCACAAACCCAATGATTCGTAACCCAGGTTCTGTCTCTAAAACCGTGATAGCTTCATCAGTGGCACTGATCGGCACAATCGTTCTGCCGTAATTATATCCCTTTTCCATTTGCTCTTTTTCGATATCCATCATTCCTCCAGCGGTCGTGCCGTCCTCGATTTGATACGCCCTGGCATTCTTGACAGCTTGTAAGTCTGTGCCTTTCGATGCTAGACCATCACCAAAAACCTCACCACCGGATCCCAGCCTCTCAGTTTTGGTAGTATAGGAGCTCGCACTGATGGGTTTCGCGATAGCAGTGCGAGGATATCGCTCGACGTTGATGGAGAAAGCGGTCTCAAACGCTTCTGGATTACCAAGTGTTAATTCTCCGCGGAACGACGTTACCGGGCGAATCTTCTTTAGCCGTGGTTTCCCAAGTTCGGATATAGCCTCTGCAAGTGTGCCAAAGATACCTAACTCCTGGCCACCTTCATTGCATGCTTCAACCATTTTTTTGATAACTTTCTCATTCCGCGCCTTCCGTCAAATCCGTCAGCTGAACAACCCAGAGACCAGTTTCGGCAATGACCCCCCCCAAAAAAAGAAGGGGGGAGTAACCCACCTTCTTGGGAACCTTCCCCTCCTCTACAAAACCATACTCCTCATCATCGAAATCCACACCCCTAATAATCACTTAACCCCAACTGCACCACCCTCCCGCGCTTCCCCAACCACCAGAGAGAAAGTAGAAACTTACAACGCCGTAAGATTAATCCCCTCCTCCTGAATCTGCCCGACAATATCCTCACACCCTTCATCATCCCACTCCCCCCGTCCATCTGTCACAAGCACGATATTCCTAATATACTTTAACTTCCGACAATACCTCATAATCATATCCACGGCGATACAAATAGCGGAAAACCCATCCCCCCCCTTCCCCTTCCCGCGACTAGGCACAAGAGCCCGCTTTAAATCCCTCAGGTGATCCAGCAGAAACTGGGAGATCGGTGCTAGAACACATATGTTCTCGTAGCCGTCCGCAGTGGCCATGGCGTTGTCAGTGTTCTCAGTGCGGAAGCCTACCACGCCAATCACATCAGTTTTCCGGCCCGTGGACATGGTCGCGGTGATTTTGTCCCAGATGTAGGTGAGGGCATAGTCCAGGTCGCATTCACCCCGCGAGGGGTGCACACGGGAGAGGGTAGGGCCGAGGTCTATTACGTAGACTGTTGCCTGCTTGTCTGCCATGTTTAATCCTATTTTTCTCTACTTCTTTTCGTGGTACTGTATTTGTTAGCAGCGGTGGTGATAGGGGGATGGATCGAGAGGATTTGGGAGTAATATGCTGTAGAACTAGCGCGAGTGCAGGGGAACGCGTGGCGTCAAGCGGGGGCCGGGGTAACGTGACCAGAATGCCTTACGATATCACACCAGACACGTAATATGCTTGATAGGGTTCAGCGTTCTTTCATACGACTCACATTGCAAGTAGGATTCGCGGGAAGTGGTTACCCTACTCATCTACAGTCCCTCGTCAGAAGTGTTCGTGAGATGCTTACTACGCAACCTCGCTGAAAAATGCGGACCCAAAAAATTTATTGCAATGACCAGTCACCACCACTGTAACTATATAAATAATTAGACTGTAAATTTATGCTATATCATTAGACTTTGCTTTTATATTGTCTAGTATTTTTATAATTTTTTTCTGTTTTTTTCCCAATTTCCAGTAGTCACACCTCACTGTTTCAAACAAACTTCAACAAACCTGAAATTTCTTCCTCCTAGAATATGACATGTTGTCCTAAATTCCTTGCTGTGCCAGAGTGATTCCTCAGATTTTGGCTACCTAACAATATGATAAACTAAATATTAAACCAGAAGTTGTAGAAGTATCATCTTATCATTGGTATTATAATGTATTTTTTTTAATATCAGGTGTCGAATACAAAGATTGTGACTACTTTGACAATAACTAATATGACCATAAATATTTTCTCATAATACAACTTTGACATATTGTTTTTCAACTTATAGCAGATTAACTATATGGAATATTTGGGAAATATTTATATAAGAGTGTTAATTTTTCACTATACTTGATATAAAACTAAATATCAGACAAAATGTTTGATCAACTACTGTAAATTATAACAAAAACAGAAAAAAATTAAAAAATGCTAGACCTTACAGAGGAAAGTCTAATGATGTAGCATAAATTTAAAGTCTAATTATTTATAAATTACAATAGTAGTGATGGGTTATTGTAATAAATTTTTTAAGTCTCCATTTTTAGCAAGGTTGCTTAGTAAGCACTTCACAAACACTTCTGATGAGGGACTGTACATTTGTGCCTAGAAAATCTTCACACCCAAAAATGTGAGGGGGGAGGGGATACCAGTGGATTGTGAGTGGATGTAAGGTGATTGTTGTTTGAGAAGGAGGGTGTGGAGTTGATTAGAAAGTATAGGAAAGAAACAGGATAGTTATGGAAGAGGAAAAGAGAGAGGGTTTTTAGAGGAGGAAGAGGGGAAGGGAAAGAAATTAACTTATATGGGAAGTGGTATTAGGGTAGCAGGGAAAGTTCAGAGAGGAAAAGATTGAGGGAATTGGAGTAGGAAAGGTGAAGGGTGAGAAGAAGGAGGGCTTATTTAAAACAAGTGAAGGAGAAAGACTCTTAAAGAACAGTACTATCACCTATTGCAAGTGATACAGTCGTTGGTATAAAGACAGCAGGCAGAAGGAGTGTTGGAGATATGCTTTTGGAGAACAGGTGGAGAAAGAAAAATTTAATTATGGGTAGTACAGAGAAAGAGGTATGAGTAGTGGTTTTGAGAGTAAATGCCCGTACCAGAGCATAAGTAAAAGTTTATCCTATGTCGAGTACATCGGCCCAGCATCCTGATGAACATCATGTACTATTTACATCTGCTACATTCTGAGCGTCTGGAGTTGTGTTACAATGATTCACATGTCAAGTACGTCCCGTATTGTCACCCTCAGTTTCTTTATGCCCATTGCTGCTGGGCCCTCGCTACCATGTTACTCAGATGTCCTAACGGGGTTCTGTGTGTCCTCCACCCCTATGTCCTGTTATAATAGATCCCCCTACACATTGCCCAGTACCTGAGTTCTGACGCTTTGCTTCCGTCCTTTACTCTCTGGAGGGCGCTGCATATCGCAGCCCTTGGTTGCACTGCGTCTTATTTCCTATGTACATTCTCTTGCACTGTCCGATGCACCTGTGAATTCTATTTCCCACTTTCAACGTAACTATCTCGACCTCTCCTCTCAATTACATTCTAATGTCTCATTGCTATTCCAACATTGCAATAAGGTTTCAACAAGGGGACACTAAATTGAGTTCGTCTGCCAGTGGTTTCTCCTTTATGTTCTCTAGGCATCTGATATCTATCCCATTAGTGGTTTTGCATTCTTTACGGCTGATGGCCGACTTGACATCCCCAGGCACTAGTATCTACACTGGCACTCATCATTCTTGATATTACTACTTCCGCAATTCTCTAGTTAAAATCTCCATCCCGTGTACTTTAGTTTAAATATTACACTTCTATGATTTCTAAGTTATCCCCACAGCCCTACATGCTCTGCATCTCATGTTATCTTCATCTCGTTCCTATCATGGTGTCGAGATATAGGCAATTCTAATGTCGAAATGATTGCGAAGATTTCGTCTGACAATTTGGCTCGACATCGGTGTAGACAGCATGCAAAATCTCCTCTTTTTTTACTTACACGCTTGAAATATCTTGGCGAGTAAACATTGGTCCCTGGAGTACAATATTGGAGTTCGTCGAGGCAGCGCAGCTTGATCTGGTGATTTTTCAATAGATCTCATTGAAAGTCCTTAAATCTATCCGACTGTTAACGAGCCATCACCTGTCCACCTCAGGGATTACGTAGGTAAGGCCTAGGATAGTACTAATGTCCACTACCGTAAACCTCTGCGGATCCAGTATTTTCGGCAGCTCTACAGTGATAAGATCATATAACTCTGATGTGCGTCCAGAGTTCACTGCATTCAATACCTAAACACCTGCCAGACAGTAGACGGTATCTTGCTACCAATAGTGGTAGAGCTTGGAAAGTGCAATGGGTTTCCCGGACAGATGGCCCAATAGTACAACATATGTTTAATACCCACCAGTCTGTGTCTAAACCTAATTGTTGCTACTTGCTGGGTTGCAGAAGAGCTCGGTGCCGGTACATCGTGCCCTGTGGATATTGTAAACATTGGTTTCCTGGATCACTAGAACTGGGATTTCAAGTTGTATCAATTGTTTAAAGTGGAGGTGTCGAGGTATTCAGGGATCTTCAGGCAAGCAGTGCTCAAAGGGCAAGTTCTGTTGGCTATATCAAACTAATTCAAAACCCATGTTGTCGCTCGTAATGCCCAAGGCTTTGCACAAATCACTATGGTGGGTAATATCTCCACAACGCCACTTGAGGACCCGACAGCTTGTCAGTTACAAATTGGGATTCCGGAGATATTTGGTCCAAAGGATCCATGACATCTGCAGGCATATCAGCTCTGGAATGTCACACAGCATCTATGATCAAAAGTCTCATTTGATTCGTGTGGTATCAACCGTAACTCTGGCAGATCTGCCATGCAGCGTCCTTTTTATTTGAACGTCACCATCCATCTTTTTGCTGCTCCTTATGCACTAACTCACTAAACTCCATAGAATACTGCAGAATAATGCCAAACTGATACACATGATCGGGAAGGTAATGAACTAAATGCATCTTAATGAAGTTGAAATGAGACTCCGCTTATATCAATTCTATGTGTTGGTCGTTCTCTTCTTCCCAGTGCTGCTCCTGCTATAGGGACCACTTAGATATAGTCACAGATTGATCTACCAGCGTTCTCTGATATTATAACTCTATTCACTGGTCGTGAATCTTTGCCCGTATCGGTTTAGACATTCTAAGCTGCAAGAGGATATCCTTCATCGAGTGCAATAGATTAACATATTGATCTATATAATTAACCATCTCACAAGTATGGCTCTGGTATTTTGCCATCAGACTGAAATCGAGTAATGAATGGACACTAGCAAGTGCTTATTTGAAGGGTAGGTGTTGTATACTATTAGGCCATCTCCAGGCCACAGCCAGAACTCGCAAAAGAAAATGTCCTAAGTTTCTCAACTTCTTTCCTTGCTACTAGGTAACCTTGCTGTACGCTTTACTGGATACAAAGAATCCTAGGTACGGAACCAAAGATTTCCAGGTATTATCAAACCCCTCCAGCCTTGCGTGTTTCTTAAGAAATCCAAGAACCCAATCCATCACATGTGTGAATAGTCTAAGATAAATAGTATGGAGTGGATCTGGCTGGTGCAGGCCAGTGGGTAAAATGCATGGTAGTCTATTAAAAACATTTCGCTTCATCTTGATACTGGGAGTATCAAATGTGGTATGGACGTAGCCTGAAGTAGGCTTCCCTGAGCCCACTTGAACTCCTTATTCTATGCGTGTATATCTTATATAATCTCCCACTGGGTACCTCACCCGAGTGCTGTATTATAACATATCTGCATGTATCTCACATTTAGGACAAGCGTTGGATTTTACTCCATGTAGTGCAATGTTTTCTATATGGGCTGCAATCCACTCTACAAGGATAGGGAAACATGTTCATATTTTTCTATCTGTACTGTCAATTGTCACACCAACCAGTGTGGCCTCTTGCAAGGGCTCGAATAGGAGCTCGAATACAGCTTATAGTATGGTGTTTATTTGTCTCTTTAGTTCGTCTGAGGAAGAAGACTGTGGAAACTGGAGTAGGACGGGCTATACTGTTAGAAGCAGAACTACCATTGATCCAGGTCGGTTACGGATAGTCAACGGAAGATTTCCAACTGTGATGTATACTGGCCATGCCCTCTTGTTACCTGAGAGGTTAGTGAGATGCTTTTGATCCAACATGCCAATAATGGGAACCATAGTCGCACCAGGTAGAACTGTTTCCTGTGATATGTTAAACTCTGTTTCTGTCAAAAAGAGTGCAATTGCTATTGGCAGGGTACTTGAACATCCCACTACCAGTCCACTGTATATATTTCTGCATATACTCTTTATCTATTGGGATTACATTCATGTCATGTCATGTAAACAAAATCTTCTGTGTAGGCTCTATGACGAAAAAGGTATCACATACAGTCTAAAATATTACTGTAAAAGAATGGCAATGTTATGGTGCCATCCTCGACCTGGGCCTTGAACCATTATAGAAATAAGCTATACTGATC